ATGTAATATCTACAATCACAACATAAAGGTGTGAGAGGGGAAAACTGCACAGTTTACTTAGTTTAAATCAAAATCAAACTGGCTTATTGATTTATTAATAGAACATAATTAACTGGCAATCAGTGGGATATACATTCAGGTTCCATATCAGCAATACAACAGACAAGGCACTGTTAATAGACAAAATGCTCATAAGCACCTAACAAATTTCTAAAGAACCTTTCTTCACTCATCTCCCAAAGTTCTAATCATCCACACACCACCCACCCGTGGTTATACACACAGTCTACCTCTCACGCATATCTCCTGTGGGAGATGTGGTTTCTTAATGTGTGCCTGTGCTGCACCTTACAACCTGCTAATGTACACACCAGGGAAGAAGTACCACCCAAGGTACTACACCCACACCCAGGTGTGAGTCCCTGCCTGTCACACCTGCATGGTCACTGCTCGAGCTGGATGAAGGCACTGGCAGGATCAGGCAGGGAGGATGAGTCTGCCTGGCACAGAGTTTTTGATGGCAGCAGATGAACATACAACAAACAGTGTCAAACCCACCTCCTCTGGTTTTGACTGCTGGATCTATCTGTCACCACTGTTCTCTGTCCTGTTACAAAGTTTCATTTGTCCCATACAGTTCCTTCCAAATTGGCCCTTCCCTTCTTTCAGAACTCACTATGTAACTTCCTGGTTACTGTTTAATCCAGCTGACAGTTGTCATCCCTTTATTAGGATCAGCTGCGGACATGCACTCAGACAGTTTGGGAGGCTTGAACTCACATTCTTATCTTAACAGCTGTTACTGTTCAAGCCATTTTACAAAGGATGGGCAATGTGAGCACCCTTGCAAATAGAAAAGCAATATTAGGAATCTGAATATTCCTGCAGTTTCTTCTAAGGTAAATTAGATAACAGCATGCATTCAGGCAGGCTTTTGCAGCAATGACAGGAGCCATATCATGTCCAATTCTAAAAGTATTTCTATACCCACTTCTGATTACTTGTATTTAAGTACCATCTCATTCTCCTGCCTTGGTTCTCTGTACTCTAAAGTAAAGTGAAAATTACTTGAAAAGGTGTTCTTTGCAAAAAAAAGATGTTCTCCTATATAAAAGCAGCTGTCAGTATCTCTAATTTTAAATGAAGTCCTCCTACTCACAGCCAAGTGGAGACTTACTGGAAGGCAATTCAGAGGTTATCACCATTTTCCACCAGCTCACTCTCCCCTGATGCAGTGCTGCTATTCCTCTTGTTCCCACAGTTCCTTTCCAGGTCACCACAGATGTCAGAGGACTGTGCTGCACCAGGGATATGACTGGCCTTGAAGGGTATGCTGTTCCTTTTTGGATCTGTGCTGTGATGGCTTAGCACATAAGAATAAAAGGATCAGGTCATGTTGTGTGCCCTGTGTCTGAAACAGCCTTATGAAGATTGTGTTTGCAGTACAGAGTCATGCTCACTGGGCAATGGAAAACATGTCCTCTACCTTCCAAGATTTCACTTTAATTAGATATATGGCAAAAAAACCAAAACCACATCCCTTTTTTTATTTTATTTAATGCTTTCAGAAGAATTATCAAATTTGAAATCCCTCCCATTTCTCCTTCTGCCCTACCTTTGCAGCTTTACAGTGACCTTAAAACTCTGTTCTCACTTTGGGCTATTTCAGTCTGTTACTGTTTCTGAATCACTATCAAACCTTTCATGCCAGCAGAACAGTCTGCTACTGCATAGCCATTTAAAAAAGCAGGCATCAAGTGGAAAGATAGGAGGACTTCAAGAACATTTTTTCCTCTGAAGTTTAAATAATTTCAAACATTGCAGCATTATACTCTGGAAGGTATATCAAACAGTAAATTATAGAGATATG